CGACCGCAGAATTGACGGCCCGCAGTGATACTTCTTCGAGGAGTCTACAAAAATGCGCAGCATGGGCGCAGATCTGCGACCCTTCTACGCGTTCTGGCTGGGCGCCGGCGACCTCGCGCCGCCAGCATCGGGCAGCCCGTGCTGCTGGGCGGCGCGAAGGGGAGGAGGAGGGGAGAGGCAAAAAGACGACGAAGAGCAAGGAGGAGGAGGAGGAGGAGGAGGAGGAGGAGGAGGAGGAGGAGGAGGAGGAGGAGGAGGAGGAGGAGGAAAGAGGAGGAGGAGGAGGAGGAGGAGGAGGAGGACGACGACGGCGACGGCGACGACGACTGCGCAGATGGTCGCCGAGGGCCCCAGCGCTGGGCCTCGAGGGGTCGTCGGGGGCCTCGGGCCTCCCCGCCCGCCCGCACGCCGTGCTCTGCCCAGAGGCCCGTGCGGGCGCACCGGACCACCCCGCGGAGAGCGGCCAGGCAGGCATCTTCTCCGAGAAAGGCAGGAATCTTCTCCGTAGAAAGAATCTTCTCGGAGCTTCTTCGAGAAAGAATCTTCTCTAGAAAGAATCTTCTCCGTAGAAAGAATCTTCTCCGAGAAAGGCAGGAATCTTCTCGGAGCGGCCGGGCAGGAGTCTTCTCCGTAGATTCGACGAGGAAGCCAACTTCGGTCGAAGAAGAAAAAACTCGGAGGTTGATAGACCTCCTGCCCTGACACGTCGAAATTCAGGAATTGGCAGTTGTCGGTTCGCGAGAGGGCGCCGCGCCCGTCATTTTTGCGGGTCCAGGTGCGTCGGTTTCGGTCCCAGGCTGCTTTCACTAAGGGGAGGTTTACTAAAGGGAGGTTTGTCCACCGCCGAAAAGCGCTATAAACACACACTTTTGGGCGCTCCGTGCGGATTTCTTGGATCCGCGCTGGACCCCCGATGGCAAAGTGCCCCTCCGCCCGAGGACCACCAAGGCGCCGACGCCGACGGCGGCGGCGGCGGCGACGCTGACGTTGACTTACACTGCGACGTCGACGTTGGCGACCGCCACGGCGGCGACGCCACCGACGACGGCGGCGACGTTGACGTCGACCGCGACGTCGACGTTGACGACCGCCACGGCGGCTGCGACGCCGACGCCGACGCCGGCGACGGCGGCGGCGACGCTGACGTTGACGTCGACTGCGACGTCGGCGTTGACCGCAGCATCGTTGTACCAGCGTGAAACATGTCCCTATCCTTTTTGGTTGGCATCACCTTGTCCCGATGCCGATCTTCTCAGGAATCTCACAGTTTCTGAGGGCGCATCCCTGAGACAGTCATCGCACTTGGGCTTGTCAATCTCAGGGATATGGATGCTAGGATGCAATTCCCTGGGAGGTTAATTTCTGTATCGGCGCTGGCATTTTCGCGGTCGATGAGCTACTTCATCTGGGTTGACCCAGCTTCATCCTGCCGAATCTTGCTTCATCTGGCTTATTCCGGCTTAGTCCCGGGCTTAATCCGGCCTAATCCGGTGAAGTGGCACCTTAATCGGGCTTCATCGCCCTTACAGTGGAAGTCCATGCCAAGAAACATCCTGCCTGCCTCCAGGGTGCCCTGGGTTTGTTGGGTTTCGATGTCTTGCTATGGGAAGCGTGACGTCCCCACACCGAAAACCATGGACGTCCTGGGGTCTCAGGGTTGGGTTTCTTGTGGTCGAGCTCCTTTCGGGATCCCGCGATGGGCCGTGTGCCCCGGAGGGGGGGGGAGTTCGATCGGTTTTTGCACCGAACCGCCCAAAACAGAAGCCCCCCAGCCGCAGGCAGCTCCCCATAGTTGCCGACAGGTGGGGCATGTGGGGGGCATCTGTTTGCGGCAGTTCGGTGCACAAACGGATCGAGCTCATGCCCCCCCTCGGGGGTCCCCCCGCCCTCTGGCGGACCCCGATCCCTCTGTCATCGTTCCGACGAAGACCTCCCAGGAGTTGCCTCCGAAGGCATGCGATCGAGGCTGGCTCCTTGGGGGGCGGGACGGGGCGAGGCGGAGGAGGAGGGGACGGAGGAGGGGGAGGAGGAGGAGGAGGAGGAGGAGGAGGAGGAGGAGGAGGAGGAGGAGGAGCGAGGAGGAGGAGGAGGAGAGGAGGAGGAGGAGGAGGAGGAGGAGGAGGAGGAGGAGGAGGAGGAGGAGGAGGAGGAGGAGGAGGAGGAGGAACGAGGAGGAGGAGGAGGAGGAGGAGGAGGAGGAGGGAGGAGGAGGAGGAGGAGGAGAGGAGGAGGAGGAGGAGGGGAACGAGGAGGAGAGGAGGAGGAGGAGGAGGAGGAGGAGGAGGAGGAGGAGGAGGAGGAGGAGGAGGAGGAGGAGGAGGAGGAGGAGGAGGAGGAGGACGAGGAGGACGACGAGGACGAGGAGAAGGAGGAGGCTTGCCCCCGACGCTCGGCAGAAAGGCCACGCTGGGCGAGGGCGCCGCCGCGGGGCAGCCCGAGGCGCCCCACGCCCCGCAGAAGCGGCGGCGGCCGCCGCCGCCCGGCGCCGGGGGCGGCGCAGGCCTCGCGTTTTGTGCCTCTCTCTTAGGGGCAGCGAGGTCTCGAGGTCTCCTTCTCCTCGTCCTCGTCCTCCTCCTCCTCCTCCTCCTCCTCCTCCTCCTCCTCCTCTCCGTCGCGGCATCCGTCGGCTCTCGGCGGTTTTCCAGCCTCGGGGTGCTCTCCAGCAGACGCGCCTCGTTGAGGGCGTCCCGGGGGTGCCGGGATCGTCCAGGACGGCCGCAGGAGGCGCGAGCTATTGCCCGAGAGCCAACGGTAGTCGAAGAAGAAACAACCGCATAAACATAAATCCCACTAGCCCTCTGGGCGTCGGTGGTTTAGGGCGTATCCTCTTCCACCCCTCCCTCTTCCCCTTCGGGGAGGGGTTTACCCCTCCCCCTACCCCCTCTCCGCTGACCTGGACAGGAGGCCCCAAGAGGCCCCCAGGAGGCCCCAAAGAGGATCCCGAACGGCCCACAGAGGCCCCCCCGAGGCACCCAAGACGCCGAAAAGCCCCTCAGGACGACCCTCTACTCGCCTGGGCGTCGTTTCTGGACGGGCTGGTGGGGATACGTTTTTTTTTTTTTTTTTTTTTTTTTTTTTTTTTTTTTTTTTTTTTTTTTTTTGTTTTTTTCTTTATTACAGCCGCAGGCGGAAGCGCCAGCGGCGGAAGGTCGCGAACGGGCCGCGGACGCGACTAAATTACCTAACGCGCGCAGGGCCGCGGATCAGGCGGCTCACGGCAGCGTCCAGGGGGCCGAAGCCGATGCAATCCAGGTGCCATGACAGCCCCTGAACGGGCATGCAGGTGCGTCCAACAGGCCTGAGGTAGGCACCGAGACCACCTAGCGCAGCCAAAATGGCGCGATAACGTTCCAACGACCAGGTGCGGACAAGGGAACGACCCGAGGACGTCAGCCCCAGCCTGTCGGGTAGCACAGACGACGAGGTGGTAAGTCCAACGAGGATCCCGACGGCGGCAGCGAGCCGCGGCGCCAGAACGACATCAAGGTGTATCCATGTTCCGAGAAAACTACCACACCGAGATGTTTCGGCCCAGACCCAGCGGGTGGAAGGGCACCTGATGCACGCTACCCGCCGAAACGCGGCGTGTGCACACAACAGTGTCACAGTGCAGTCCAAAGGGACGGAGAGCACAGGCGGAACGAGACCGTGTATACCCAGGCAAGTCCCACAAAGCCACAGGGCTGGTGGGGATACGCGAAGCGTGCAGAATTTCTGGCGCTCCGCGCGGATTTGGTGGATTGGCGCCTGGGCCCCCCTGGCGGCGCCTCCGGCGCCGCTACTGGCGCGCTCCGCACGCCAGGGAGGGGGGTCCAGCGCAGATCCAAGATTCCGCGCGGAGCGCCAACAGTTTATGTTTATGCCGTTTTTTGTTGTTTTTCTTCTTCTTCTTCTGGATCGGGGGGATAGGCATAGGGGGGATGCATCGACCCCCAATCGCACATTGATCGCTGATAGGGGTCTTATGGCCCCACCCCGCCCAGGAAGGTGCAGCTTCGAGATCGGGGGCCTATCGCCGATCTGTCGACGATGTATCGCGGATTCCAGGTCGATGATCCCCCCTGTACCAGCCCCCCCCAGTCGTTGCCCCTCACCCTCGCGGGCAACGAAAGGGCTTGGCATCGCTCGGACGTGTGCATCTTGTCCTCGGCGAGGACCATCCTGGAAGAGGTGGAGGAGGAGGAGGAGGAGGAGGAGGAGGAGGGCCGAGGAGGAGGATGATGAGGAGGAGGAGGAGGAGGAGGAGGAGGAGGAGGAGGAGGAGGAGGAGACGGAACACCCTGGATCATCGAGCGACGAATCAGCGCACGACATTCAAGAATAGTCAAAACATAGTCCAGGGACGATTTTTTTTTGTTGATGGATTATTTTGGGATGTTTTTGGACTGTTTTTGAATGTTTCGTCCAACATCCGCCTGGCTTCTCAGACGCCCTGGGTTGCCGCTGCCCGCCGCCTGACCGCGGCCCCGCGCGCGCCCGCCCCCTCGTCGCGGCCGCAGCCCGACCGTGACCGCCTGCCGCTGGCGCTTCCGCCTGCGGCCGTAAAAAACATAGTCCGGGGACGATTTTTTGGGATACTTTTGGATATTTTTTGAATGTTTCGTCCAACATCCGCCTGTGGGAGGACACGCCCGACCTGAGGATCGGCTCCGGTTCGAGGTCCGTGGGCGCCTTCGTCGCTTCGCGGCGGCTCTCTGGCCTCGGGGGGTGCCTTCCGGCGTCTGCGCCCCGCCGCGAGGGCGCTCCGGGGGGTGCCCAGAGCGTCCCGAGCGGCCGGCCAGTGACCGGGAAAGTCAGGGGCAGCTGCAGGGGAGGGGGGAGGGGTGATGGGACTGAGGTGGGGTTGCATCGGCCCAGCCCCACCCCGCCCAGGAACGCGCGCATTCGCCGTCGGAGGCCTATCGCCGATCTATCGGCGATGTGTCACCGATTCCAGGTCGATGTTTCCCCCCCCCCCCCCCCTTTGCTGAAGTCGGGCACGTCCCTCTACAGGAGGAATGTTCAAACATAGTCAAAACATAGTTTGGGGACGTTTATTTTTGATGTTTTTCGACTTCATATTTTTCTTCGGAAATCCGCCTGCAGGAGTACATGCCCGACCTAACCCTATGCCAGTCCCCCCACATCGTTGCCCCTCAGCCCCTCAGCCCAGTACCTCCGCCGCCAGGGTGGCCTCCGAGGTTTCGTGGCCCCACCAGGGGGCTCCACCGAAGGCCTCGGGTCGATGTCCGCATGCCCACGTTCCTCGAAGAAAGACAACACTACATGAATATACACTTTCGCCGCCCCTGGCGCGCTCCGCGCTCCAGGGAGGGTCCTGGGCGCCGATCCAAGCAATCCGTGCGGACCTCCGAAGGTGTATGTTCACGCAGTTCTTTCTTCCTCTAGGTCCGTGGCCCCACAAGGGGGCTCCACCCTACAGGTCAGGAGCAGGATCCCAACAGGATCCAGGATGATCCCAGAAGGACCCCAGCACAGTCGAGGCGTACGATAAGGATGCACGAGAAGGATGCAAACGGCTTTGGAGGGGCATGCCAACGCTTTTAGAACGGGTTGGCCAGCGAAAGTCGCCACGGATGGGCCGAAGGGGCAAGGATGCAAAGGTTCGAAGAAGGAAAAAACGCCATAAACATAAACTTTTGGCGCTCCGCGCGGATTTTTTTGATCCTCGCTGGGCCCCCCTAGCGGCACCTCCGGCGCCGCCCTTGGCGCGCTCCGCGCGCCAGGGAGGGGGGTCCAGCGCAGATCCAAGAAATCCGCGCGGAGCGCCGACAGTTTACATTCAAGGCTTTTTTTCCCCTCTAAGGGCAGCCTTGGAAAGTTGCTCATCCTCACTGTGCGACTTCACTGGAAGATTCCTCGGGGCCGTCGCCGCGGCGGGTCGCGGCTCGACAGGCTCAGCGGCGCGCCCTGTCTCGGCCCGCGGAGGTTCTGGCCACGCCGCGTTTGGCCTCGGGGAGGCCTGGGAACTGCGAGCAGCTCGGGGGAAGACCGCTGCCGGGGCGCCTTTGGGCCCGCCGTGGGACTCGGGAGGCCTCCGGGTGCGTCTGGAGGCCTCTCGGGGGCGGATGTGGCAGGGCCACGGGCATGGCGAGTATCAGGCTCGTGGTGTAAGACGATCCTGAACACTGAAGTTGCGTATGCTTCCGTCTGGCTTGGGGCCCAGCCCCAGCCCCAGCCCCTGACCCCCGACGTCATGATTTTTCCATGACGTTGACCCCGAGAGTCGGGGGCGGCAAAGAGGGGGGTGATGACTAGGGGGGGTTGGACATCTTGGCGTGGGCCATGTTATTTCCCCAGATTTCATGGCGCCTCCTCTTATTTCATTACGTCCCTGGCCTCCTCTTGGGCCGCGCACGTGCCGCCAGCCCTGATTGCCCCCCCCCCCCCCGCCCTCTCTTGGACGCCCCCCTCTTGGCCGCCCCCGACAGAGGTCTCGACCCAATCCTGGGACCGGTTTTACGTCCTGAGTCGTTTTCTGGCTGTCTCGAGGCCCAGTGAGGGCCCATAGAGGTCGAAGACAGCGCAAACCTGCCGCCGTGATTTTTTCCTGGCCCCAGCCCCGGCCCTCGGCCCCGGCCCCCAGCCCCAGCCCCGGCCCTGGCCCCGGCCGCGGCCCTGGCCCCAGCTCTCGATACCAGAAACAACATACATCAGGAGGGGAAAAACATGCAGACATAAATAATCGTCGATTCCAGGGAAGGACGGGAAAAGATGGGAATTGGAGGGGAGACGAACATCCAGGAGACATGGAGAGTATGGTGAATCCTGGGATTGGTGATATATATATATATATATATGTGTATGTGTATATATATATATATATATATATATATATATCAGTATTTATTTATTTTTGTGTATATATATATATATATATGTATATATATGTGTGTGTGTGTATATATATATATATATATATATATTGGAATGGCCTCCGGCCAGTGCCGCCGATCCGGGGGGCTCCGGACTCGATGATCTTCACGGCTCTGTGGCCTCCTCCCTCGATTCTTCCGGTCCTCTTCCTTCTCCCTAGTTCTCGTTATCCTCTGCCTCCCGCTGACCCCTTTGCGTCACGTGCTCGCTCCCCTCTCCGTCCTCACTCGTCCTCGTTCCAGCTGGGGGGGTGCCTGGAGAGGTCCCGGGGGGAGTCCGGGGAGGGTCCGGGGGGCGGTAGCGGCTAGATCTGAGAGGGGATCCTTGGGCCCCCCCGAAACATCTTGGGGACGCGCGAATCATGAAGAAAACACCAGATGGGGGACGGCCCCCCCCCTCCCCCCGACCCGGCAGAGCCACCCCGGCGACCCCCCTCTAAGCAGGCCTGAGGCTCTTGCTTAGGCTTAGAGCTGAAACTCTTGCTGAGGCTCCTTGTAGCTCACACGCCGGATCGGCGTGTGTGTATATATATATAGATATATCGATGTGTGTGTGTGTGTGTTTGTGTTCGTGTCCCCGGGCCCCTTCAAACAAATGCGGTGCCCTCCCCTCCCCCTTTGCCCT